ACTGCGTCTATTCCAGCCCACGCCGGCCTCAATATTTGCACCAGGAGACCTCTGCAACCTCAATGCAAGCTTCATGAAGTACTCCACTAATGTCGGCATAGAGTATATACCGCGAAACGATGTGGAGTTCCTTCGCATTACAACACCAGCGGTGCTGACAGATAACTCATCCGTTCCTCCGGGGTTTGACCCCTACGCTCCATCGCTCTGAGATTACACACAAATCAACAATCTCCCGTTGTAAAAGAAGCAATCTTTACCATCAGGTGTCGGCGTCAAGTCGATTGGATAAGTTACAACAATGGTAGTGGCAAAAGTTCGTTCAAAACATCCGCATCCAAAAACACGACTTAAGGCCTATACGGTGTCACATGAACTTCCAAATGGGCGTTCCGACGACATCGAAATCCCGCTTCCTCATGCATCACCAACAAAAGCATCAATCACACTCCCACTCCCATTCTCTACGCCCTACCTACACCTTCTCCCCCACCCCAACATCCCTCAACCTAACCATCAACCCCCCCTTAGGCCTCGCCGTAATCCCCCCCTGAATCCCCGCCACGTGCCCCTCCACCTCAAACGCAATCTCAAACCTGCCCACAAGACTCGCCACAAGACAAGCAAACTCCGCTTTGGCAAACTGCATGCCAATACAACTCCTTGGCCCATGTAAAAACGTCGTAATGGCATAATTCGATTCCGCGCCGCCCGTGTTGGCAGTACCGGGCTGCATCCAGCGGTCAGGGTTGAAGGAGCGGGCATCCGGGCCCCAGAGGTGGGTGGACGTGTTGATGGCCCACGGGCAGATTACTACGGTTGTGCCGGCGGGAACGAAGTGGTTTTGGATGGTGGTGTCGTGGGCGGTTTCGCGGAGGGTGAGGGGGACGGGGGGGTATATGCGCATTGTTTCTTGGAGAACGGCGTTTAGGTACGGTAATCGATCGATTTCGGTCGAAGAGATTTGACCACCTGGTTGTAGTGCTTCAGGGAGCTCGGTGCGTATCTCTTTTCGAAGCCGCGTTTGCACATCAGGGTTTTGACACAGCAGGTATACGGCCCATGACATGGCTGAGGCGGTGGTTTCGTGGCCGGCGGCCAGGAACGTCATGAGTTGGTTCACAAGGTCTTCGTCGCTGAAACCGCCGGATTCCATGGCTACGCTTAAGATATCCATGCCTTTTGCCTCGCCGGATTGCAGCTTTTCGCGCTTGTCGTGGATGAGATCTCTAGCGACTTTCTTAATGGTATCGACGGCGTTGCCGATTATGTCGTTGCGCGCCAAGGGAAGATTTACAGCAACCCAGTGGGGAAGCAGATTGAGCAATACTTGGATGAGTTGAGCACCTCGGGCGCCGGCGAAGATCTTGCGGTAGGTTTCATTGAGTTCGTTGGACGGGTTGCTGATGGCATCGAAGTCTTTGCCCATTCCTGCGACACCGATGATGTCGAGAGTGGCGCGGGAAGCCCAATGACCGATTTCGACTACAGATGACTCATCAGGGCTGCTCTTGATAGTTTCAGCCAGCTTGTCTGTAAATTCCTGGGATTTACTCCAAAAAATCGGGTATAAGTCTTTTACGTGTCGGAAGTTGAAGGCAGGCATAAGTGCCTTCCTCTGGCGCTGTAATCACATACACATTAGCAACTATCTTCTGAAAATGCATCACCTATACGCACCTTATGTTCATCCCCCTCCGCCAACAAAATCCCCACGCCCAGCAACCTCCCCAACCCCTTCCTCAACCTCCCCGGCTTAACAAACTCATAGCTCCTCGTCACCAGCACCTCGCCAATCGCCTTCGGATTCGTCACCAGTATCCTTGGCTCATTGAACAACCACCGATAATACAACACGCCATCATTCGGCACATTGTCAATCCAATCCCGCTGCGGCTCGCCAGTCGGGTCCTTGTAGATGCGTCGGAAGTGGCCGAGCAGGAAATGGCCGTCTGGTGGCGAGGGTAGATGCCTCAATGGACTCAGAAGTAATGGGTAGATAACGATGGACCATGCCAATTGGGTGAAGACTGCGATTGCGAAAAGCGCAATAGTGTTCTTGATGTAGCCCTGCGAGACAGCGACGGCAGGCGCATATCGCTGACTGAACCACGTCCACGCCGCAGCTGCAAGCAGCAAGAAGCGTTTCGGCACCACCATAACAGGAAACTCTGCGCAAGGGGCGCGGTTGCAGATGTTCGAAAGGGATGGACTGTTTGGGATGGATTGACCTGCGAGAATGTGGCGAAGCGGCGAATCAAGTTGTTTCGGTAATGGATGACGTAAGGAACTTTGTTTGCGCCACAACGAGGGTTATGATGCGGCGTGGTAAGCCAGAGAGCTGCCAAGTACAAACACACGTAGATGGTATATCGTGAGAAGAGAAGAATGAGAGTTCAGCAAGCCAGCTTAAACATCCAGCTGCTCGCCCGCACATGCATCGTTTCGATTGCGCGTAGCTGGTCCGAAAAAGTCCGTGCGTCAGAGTCGGCATGTTGTCTTCCCGAGAACGCCCACCATTTAGGGCACAATTGCGACTGGCTGGCGGGATTGTTGTCCCGCGTTGGCTGAGTGGCTTCAAGGCAGCAGGAATGTATACTGATCATGGGGTCGCAAACTGCAAAAGCCAACGGACGAGTTCCACGGGATGATGTTGGAAATTTATGTGGTGTTGAAGCATACGTGTCTAGCTACTATTGTAGTGTGTGCCCCGAAGTGCATCTCCTGTTCGATATCTCTTGTTAAATGCATTGCTAGTACATACTTTTAGGTAGATAGGCTGTGTTTCTGGGGATTGAAGCGTTTGACCGCGGAATATGGTGGATGGCGGGTGGTTACGTTGTGCAATCTCGAATAGGATGTAAGGTAAACGATGCAATGTCGCCGTTAGGATCGCATCCTATCTGGGGTGGGGAAGGATGGTTTGGATAAATCGGATAGTTGCTGACGACAACAAGATGCTGAGTCTAGTTCGCAGTGCTAGATATGGATGAGCCTGGCGGATATGTGAGCGATTCCAAGCTCGAATGTAAGGAACACGCTGCAACGTCGCCGCCTAGCTCATGTACAGACAAGTGGAAGAACGTCTAGCGTGGCGGATACTTTGTATAATTTTGCTTAGTATACATATCAAACGCTACAACGTCGCAGTCTAGCTCATATATGTGTATATCCAGTAAGTTATAGCGTAGCGGATACATTGCATGACTTCGCTCAATGTACATACCAAACGCTGCAACGTCGCTATTAGGCTCATGTGTGAATAGTCGCGGCGAGGTCTAGCGTGGAGGATATATCGTATCAATTCAGTTATTATCTACACCAAGCTCCACAATGTAGCCATCCAGCTCATGTATGAATATATCCGGCAAGGCATAACGTGGCGGATACATCGCATCATTCCACTCAATATACCCACCAAACGCTCTAACGTAGCCGTCCAGCACACGTTATATCCACACACTCACACCACAGGCTAGCGAATACATGCACATCAAACCCTTCACATTCACATCAAACACTGCAAAGTCGTCGCCCAACCCATATATTATCCACTACAAACCCCCCATACCCCATCACTGCATAGGGCAGAACTGCGCGCAAGTAGCCCCGAAAGCAGCCAAACAGCTACACACAGTATCCTCATCACATAGATAACAACAGCCCTCAGGGTTACAGCCAACATACCATCCATTTCCAGGCGGATTGCGTGGACGCTGCGGTACCGGAACTGCGGGAGCGATTGGGGGTGCCGATGACGTGGGGCGCGGTAAGCGAGAGATTTGGTCCGCCGGAGGGGTGGGCTGTGCTATGCGTGTTGGAGGGGTTGGTGTGGGTGTTGGTGGTGGTAGCGAAGGTGGAGGTGAGGGCACGTGATCTGACTCCCCAGAACGGCTCAGACTTTCGGCGTACAGACGGCTACCATCCTCGTTCATGAGCTCGATGAACCTCGAATCACCGGACTTGCGGACTTCGGTGCGATCTGGGGGCGCGAGAGATGAGGCTGAGGACTCATGTAGGCTCCTGGGTCTCTCATTCGGGTCGAGAAGCGTATGGGATGAGCCATTGTGGACGCCTAGCTGATCTTCTGAATCAGCTCCACCACGCATGAACAGCATGTCGTCTCGAGAGGGCTCTGTTTGGACGTAGTGAGAGTATTGAGGAGAGATGCCTCTATGGCTGAAATACGCTCGCGCAGTTTCTGATGCCGGCGGGCGACCTGGTGTGACTATCCATGCGCGACTTTGACCGTCTCGGGTTCTCGCTATGGTAGACAGCGTAGGGTTTCGTGGAGGAAGGCCATCTCCAAAGTGAAGGTCGTCTGACTCGCTCTCGGAATCGCTGCAGATGTCGTAAACGATGGAGCCTGCTTGACTCATTGGGCCTTCGACTTCAACAACTTCAGCATATCTCCGCTGGTCCCTCAATATAACAGCCGACGCTGAAGATAGAAGGCGAAGCTGATGCAGTGTTGACCTGAGTCGAGAAACCACTTGGGGAACAACTGGAGCCGCAGGCGAATGTTCAACGAGCGTTGTCTGACCACTGTTCAACTGCGATGGACTGTCATAGTTTCCTGTTGGATGCGATGAGTTGACGAATGCTCCCGGTGTATGCGGGGTGGGCGACGACGAGAAAGCTTCGACGACAGTTGCGGGACCACTTTCGACTTGCGATGAATTGTCTAAGGATGCTACGAAGTGTGGGGTTGGCGCGAAGCTAGGAGGAGACGTTGCTGCATGTGTTGCTGACAGCTAATCAATAATCGAGCTGAGAGGCGACATCGAGCTGAGAGGCGACGGACGATATGCGGTGTTGTAGGCTCTGTTATACTGCACATCCTTCCAGTCTGGCAGAGCCGCAAATTCTGCATCAGACATAAAGGCGGGATGCGGGCCTGTCCGCTTGTTGTGAGTGTATTGGCCTTCGACATGCTGTCTCCGATGGCGCTCCTGTAAGCGGGTCACCCAATTTTGCGCTTCTTCCTTCTCTTGCTCTTCCTACGAGCCGACCTCGTCAGCCCAGCTGCGTCCCTTCTCCATGGGTGATGGCAGGCCAAAGTCGTCTGTCTCCTTCACCTTCTCCTTCACCTCTGCAGGTGCCTTACCCTTGGCAGAGGGTAGTTCTGGGAAGTCCGATGCCGACGGCGGGACGTTGTCGCGCTTCTCTCGAGTGTTTGCCGGCCTCTCATCGGATCCTCGGTAGTCGCCGCGGCCACCCCTGCTGCCACGGCCTCTACCTCTGCCTCGTCCGCGGCTAGACTGTCCGGCAGGCTCATGGTAATCTTCGCTTGCGTTGTAACCGTTGTTCACTGGTCTTGAGGGTGCGATGCCACCGTGCGCGCCACGCGCAGCGCCACGTCGCTTCTCGTCTCCAGTGCCGGAGAAGCCGTCTTCCTTCTCAAAGTCCCACTCTCTGCCCATTTGCGCATTGAGCTTGCGCTGGCGGTTCTTCTCGCGCTCGCCCATCATCTGCTGGCGACTCTGGCGCTCTGCCTTTTGCTTCTCCGCGAGAGCCTTCTTTCGCTCGATATCCTGCTTCTGCATGACAGCCTCTCGTGCCTCGAAATTGCCCTTGTCGGCCTCGGCGCGAGCATGGGCGCTCTGACGGGCTTCGTTCTTGATGCGCATGTTGGCTAGCTTCGTGTTGAGCTCCTCTTCTGTCAGGCGCGTGCGTGCAGGGCCGCCAGTCAGGCCTCTATCACCGCGCACGGCGTGTGTGGTCTTCTCCTTGGGCTCGGTGGGTGCGGAGGGAGGGGCTGAGTTGTCTGCGGCATCGGTAGTGGCAGCCACGGTCGGCGCAGCTTCCTTCGGAGCCTCAGGGGCCTTCTTTCCGTTCTCTTCTAGTCGAATGTCGGTGTTGTTCCCGCCACGGCCTCGTCCACGCCCCCTTCCTCTGCCGCGGCCGCGACCTCTGTCGGCGTTCCTTGGTTCGCGAGGTGCATGCGGGGCGAGGTGTGCCTGCGGTGCGGTCGGTGGTTGTACTTCCTCAGGAACGAATTCGGGGGCGGAAGCTTGGAGCTCGATGGGATTTTGCTCAACGACTGGCTCGGCGATAGGCGTAATGTCGTCGTCGAAGAAGAGATCGTCTGTGCTTGCGGTCTGAGCGAATGGATCTATTGACGGATCGTCGAAAGCGGGGTCGTACGACGTGTTGTCCATCTGGTGGGAGTTAGTCATCACACCGGGTATATAACTACTGTAACAGGAGAGATATCAGGGGTAAAAAAAGTACCAGTCGACATACCTGCACTGGCGCTGGTTCTGGTTGAGCGACGGTGACCTCGGGCGCTCCTGAATGCTCCGCCTCGTCAGGCTGGGTTGCCCATTTTGACTTGAGCATGTTGACAATAACGAGTAGTGCTAGAAATAGTATCTAGAACGAGGTATTGGGCGATGAGTTAGCGATGTGAAGAGTCTTGGGTCGTTGCGGATGGCCGAATTACTTGCAGGAACCCTGGCACCTGGCAAGTCCGTGCGGGAGCACCTCCCCGCACCTGCAGTCTAGGCCCGATGGGTCCTTCCAGGCTCCACGTCCATGGTTCAGTGGCAGACGCACCCCATACAAGAAAAAAAAGCTGAATAGGTCTGCAGACTACATCAAGTTAGAAGTATACAAGGTAGGTGACCCAACGTTGACGTAGGCTCCAGGGCTTTTATTCTTTCCTAGGCACCGTGCACGCACACGTACTCCGCGGTTCTCCCAAGTTATTGCAAGCACTACCGCAACACACCAACACGCACCAACATACATGGTGGTTTACAAACCGCGCACATCTACCTGTCCTCATAGCGACTACTTGCGCTTTTACCTTCATTCTCATGTTTTCACACGGTTCAGCGCTAGCAATCGAGCCCCATCTGCATCACAGTCGGCGATGATGTCGTACGGCAGGGAAGTTCATCATACCTATAGATATCGTTCTTGTACCGGCACAATGTTTCCCTCCAGACTACATTGCCGTAAACGCATCCAAACACTCCTATGTCAAGTAATCTCGAGGTATATTCATATTAGCTCATGCTCACGTCTGCACCCAACAACCCATAGTTTGGTATCATCAGTCCTTCGGTGCGGTGACGCAAATACCCCATCGATCAGAAGCGGCTGCATTCTATACTTTCGTTCGATACGAATCAAAACCTGATAGCACATATCACAAGACATTATCGTTTCCCTTCTACCTTTGTGATTTCGGCCTACTCCGCGAGATGACCAGAACGTCGTGAACAATGTGATTGTCAAACAATGCCCATTTAGTCACACTGTCGTTCCTTTCACTGTTACTTTGTCTCAACGCACGGACGCGATTGTTCACACTATTACATCACCTCCACTCTCGCAGCACTAGTGTCTACTACGGCCTGAAGCACTCAGAGTCGCCTTACCGCGGCCAGCGTACGCTCAACCTGCTTGCGCTCCACCCCGAGTTATCTTACCCGCGCAACACCATCGCCCGCAACCCGACAGCACTGGACAAGGCTCGCCACATTCGTCCCACCCCCTCGTATAGTCGCTCGCTTTATTGCGCGTATCCAGTTCTCTTGAACCGAAGTCTTCGCTCTGGTCTTGAACGCTGTACCATACTCTCGCTTATACTCTGTTACTAATATATGTAAGTCCGGACTTGAGCCGGTGATGTTAAGCACCCCTGACAACACTTAGTCACACACTCACTGCGAGTCGCAATCATGGCTCCTCGCAAGGACGCTGCCGGCGACATCGCTTGCAAGAAGAACAAGGGCCTGAAGAACCACAAGAAGGCGCAGAAAGAGAGGGCGCTGGCGAAGCGCACCGCTGCCGCCGAGAAGATTACCGCGAACAAGGCTTCGTATGCGCCGGTCGCTACCATCGTTATCAACGAGACTGTACCCGTACGAGAGGATGTTATTGGAAATGCAGGACCGGCGCCCATGGTAAAGGATTCTGCGCAGGTCATCGTGGAGTCGTCCGATCTTTCTCGAGACGAGTCGGCCACTCAAGAGAAGGCTGTCACCAACACCAAGGTCCCCATTGGAACTCGCACCACCGGTACCAAGACCGCTGCGCTTCTACCGCAAGTCTGCGCACATTTGCCCGTGGTTGTATTCGAAGACGTTCCTACTGGCTACAAAGCCAACTCTCCAACCAAGGTAGCCAACGACCCAACCAAACTCGAACAGAAGTCCAACAGTATATCTTATCCCAAGACTGCTCCATCTCCTCCAAACCCCAACACCTCACAAATCAGCATACTCAACCCTACCGCCCCAACATTCCTCTTCGGAAAAATCATGGTCGCCCAAACCCCAACCGTCGGAATCACACTCACAAAGGAAGACACTGCCCCCGGATGGCCTACCGAAAACGCAAAAGCGTTTGAAAAGGCCTACGGTGTTGTCGCCCGGAACAAGGCTCTCGAAGCCGCGCTGTACGAAAACATGGAGACGCCGCGCCAGAGGGCAATCCGCTGCAAGTACAGGGTGTCTGTTGACGCTGAGTTCCATCAGGAGGAGGTTCATGACTTGGAGTGGGCGCTGGCACTCATCGGCCAGCCGACTCGAAAGTGTTTCGACGACAACGGCTTTGAGATCACGCCGATCAAGACGGGCTTGACTGAAGCCGATTTGACAATTTCATCCCCTCTCGACGAGTTGTTTGCGAAAGTCGAGGCGGAAGGCATCTCTAGGATTAGCGCTCCTATCTCCACGGGTTACATGTCTCCCACCTCCGGTGCTAGGTCAACGAAGAAGCCCGTTCTTTCTCGTACCCTGGAGGTCGTTGAGGCTGAGATTCGTCTCGCCTCTACAAAGCGCCCTTCCCACGCACCCTCGTTCGCTGACCCCGGTATTGTCAAGTACACCTTCAACGGCCAGGATTTTGACAACATCGGCAACCCCCTCACAGAGACAGTGAGCCAAAAGGTACTCGGTTGGCTTGAAGACCAGCCAACCTCTCCTCCGGAACTCTCACCAACGTCTTCGCGCCAGAGCCGCGAATCGTCGCCTCGCGAGACTGGTCAGAAACTCACGTCTCTGACGTTTCATTCCAAGTCGCCGTCTTCGGGAGGAGAGGTTTGGCCCCCACGGGAAAGCCTGCCCTGGGATAACCTGCAGGATGGGTATTGTTACGGGTCCGGTGTACCGGTGTACCCGTACATTGCGGAGTCCTAGATCACGGCGGGGCAACCATATAGAGACACTGTGTCAGGGGACAATGAGCAAGAGATGCCCAGTACCAAGCTGTTGGGGGTTTGCATCACTTCCCTTCCGAGCTGGTACGAATCAAAGTGGCTGCTGTGCTTTCTTGTTTCTTTCTTATCAAGTGTTTGTATCTTTAGTGACTGGATAGCTCTGTATGACTAGCGATGGCGTTCGTGGAGTGGTAGGATGTGTCATTCGGAGCCGAGTATCTCCATGTTGTGGTCCCATTTATCGGGATCAATTTTAGCATAATAATAATGTCTGACGTCTACATTGCCTTCGTATCTAGCAAAATGTTGTTCGTGGGCTTGATGTAGGCTGCATAGTTCCTGTTCACATCTCCCGTGGACGTGCGGGGGTTGCAGACCGCGATGGTTGTGGGTGGGCGTTGGAGTGTTGTGATGATGCGTGCTTACCTTGGAATGTAGAGAACCGCGCATCAGCCATAGACGCGGCCGTGCGCGGCACTAGTACTAGCCTCTTGGCACTGCTCCGGAGATACATGGCAGCGGCAGGTACACAGACTCTATCTTTCCTGCTTCCCATACTCGCGTCTGTATCTATAAGTATTCACACCGCCACTGTCAAATATTCCATTGCAACATTGGACGGCGTCATGGATACGCTACCACAGGAGCTCATCAACAAAATCGTCTTGTGTCTAGAGCGCTATTCTGGTCAGTCACAGGCCCCAATAATTGAACAACAGGGAGACCACTCTAAGCTCCCACCGTATGCGACAATCTCTAGCCGCTGGAGAAAGGCTGTGGAATTCGTCACGTTCCATCGTTTGTCAATCAAGAGCCATGAGCTGAGTCAGCTCGAGGTCATGATGACCGGCAATCGTCCGAAATATCTAAAGAGACTTTCCTTCGCGATTACACTACCAGAGTACTCGGAAGAAAGCTGTGGACGTGTTGAGTCGATAGAAGAACAACGATGCAACGATGAAACCTTCACCCAAGCTATCATAGACTTGTTTTCCTTAGTGAGAAAGTGGGAAGATGCAGGCCTGGTACATGGTCTACGACTACAGCTACACGGTGCATATTCCCCGACCGATCTTCGTGACTGGAACCAAATCAGGCTTGAAATGGCACAACACAAGCGAGGGATAGACATTTTCGAAGAACGATGGGAAAACTCCTACCTCCATCTCTCCAGACCGGAAAGGATACCCACGCTCTCGAGCATCGTATATCTCCGCATTACGGGCCACATTTTCCGGAAGCTGGCACCTGTGGTCGGACCAGGTCTAGCTGCATTTTTACCCAACCTGCAGAGTTTCTACTGGGAATTCGGAGAGGTAGACGACACGTCCATTAACGTGGAAAGCAGGGCCTCATTCGCGAGGATGCTCAACCAGACTAAGCTTGACAAATGCTGTGCGGCTGAGATCACCTTCAATCAAGACCCTGCATCGGACCAACGCGTGGCAGAGCCTTCGCGCATACCAACAGGCGCACTCTACGATCCGTTCAGCGTATCTCTGCGTAACTTTTCGCAAAACCTGACTTCTCTTGTTCTGAACGGCTATGTGGACTCAACTCTGTTCTGGCCTCCAAGCCTTGAGACAAGCTCCATGCCTAGCTGGCCGACCCTCAAGAAGCTGACAGTCTTCTTCAATATGGCCGCCCCGTCTGGGGAGTGGTACTTTGACGGAACACCACCAGGCGAGATTGAGGAGCAGTGGGGCGGCAGTATCGTGCAGTTTCGCGACCGTGAAGACGCAAAGACCTTGAATCCGTTTGTCACGGCTTTCGCAAAGGCGGTGCAACAGATGCCGGCCCTCGAACATTTTCTGCTAGAAACGGAGCTTGGCCACGACATAGGCTACTGGGAGATATCGTACTATGCACCTGGGATAAAAGAGGATGGGCACGATAACGAAGATGGTGCTAACGTGCGGCGGCTCTACTATTCTGTCGGGCAAGTCTGGAGGCCAGATGACTTCATGGCAGAAGCTTTTCGACGTGTCGGGCGGGATAGGCATGGGCCGGAGCTGATTGAAAGGTTTTATGAGCTGGGTAGCAGGACTTGGCCGCTTGATTCTCCTTGGAGTTGGTTATGACCTCCAGGGCTACATAATCGACCTATGGGCGCTTTTACAAATGACCACGCAGTCTTGACAACTCTTGCCGAGCTATTGTTGGATTGCGACTACCTGGCACTCTGGCCAGCTAAAAAGGCACGTGCGGCGACGAGCCTTTCGGACGCTAAACTTCATTGCGACATGACCGCGCTTACTAAGCAGTCTGGGCACTTTCTACGGTCCATGCATACCATTCGTCTCATTGACAGACCCCGCTATATCGACCTTGCAAAATGCCGGATATAACAGCCAACGATGGTATTCATCTCCATTACGAGACATATGGCTCTCCCGGTGCCGCTCCCTTGATCTTGGTGAGCTCCCCGCTTTCGAGCGCGTACCGCCATCAGGCCTGACATTGGTCGCTAGCTGCACGGCTTCACGGGTTCAGGCGCAGTCTTCAAGCGCAATGTTGCCGCACTCACAAAAGCTCACCATGTCATCATACCCGATCTGCGCGGCCACGGCGACTCCGGCAAACCAAAAGCCGGCTACAACGTGGCACGCCTAGCGATGGATCTCAAGAACTTGATTGAGTTCTTCGGTTTCCGCGACGGCACCATCAAAGCCATAGGCACAAGCCTGGGTGCAGCTATTCTATGGAGTTACAGCGAATTATTCACGACTGGCGCATTCTCACACATGGTTTTCGTGGACCAAGCGCCACTGCAGAACTATCTTGAGGATTGGGGTCCTGAGTTCGGCAATCTAGGATGCAACAATCTAGAAGCGCTAAACGCGATGCAAAAGACACTCATTGCGAATCCGAAGGAGGCGCACCTTGGTACCATCGCCGCGTGCTTGGGCTACAGATCTCATCCGCGACCCCGAGACCCTCGGTCGGATTCGTCACAGTGGGAAGATGACGAAGCGTTCTTCCTGGCTGAGGCTCTAAAGGGCGATGGATGGTGGTATGGGAAGCTAATGGCTGATCATACGGCGAATGACTGGCGACATCCCATCGCTCATGCTTTCGGACCAGAGAGCGGTAGTGAAACCAAGGTGCTGGTAGTAGCAAGTAGCCGAAGTGGATGTTTTCCGGCTGCTGGACCGCTTAAGGTGGTGGAGCTGGTGAATGGAGGCGAAAAGGAAGGGCTCGCGAAGGGAGTGACGGTGGACTGGGGTGGCCATTGGTGTTATTGGGAGAAGCCGGAGATGTTCAATGCGCTTGTCATTGACTTCTTCTCGTGAGCGCAATGTATGCCGTATTGACTTGATGCTGCTGCGAGAGAGTAGTTCGTATTATTGTTCATCTCACTGTTCATACCAAGAGGTAATCCATCATCGTCGAAAGAACGAGAGGGGTAAAGCTTCCACGCGACGAATTCTTCCGCGGGCGCGTCAATCCCTGCAGAGCGCCGCTAATGAGTGAGTGGCATATGAGCAAAAAGCTAGCGAAAACATACCACAGTGGGGATTTTCAAGCAGTCATCCACAAAGCCATTTCTAAACCGCCGGCATCCTGTTTGAATATGGCTGAGCGGCCGTAAGAGACCACTATGTGGGGTTCCCCAGGCTAAAGATGCGGCTCCCGGAGGCTCTGGGGCTAGCGTATCTGAGTTGTGGCTCGTAGCGAGCAGGTCTGCCTCGAGACGAGCATGACTCGCCTCGATCCCCGCAACACTGTCACGTATATATGTTCAGCTGGCTGCATGTCCATCGCATTATCATCACCCACCTCTTTCTTGTGCAAGCATTGTACCCTCGATTCCTTCTTCGCGTTGCATAGCTCCCAACCCGAGATCGCGAGGTCCAGAATCGAAGTCCCGATTACCTCAAACCTGATCCGAGAGTTTTGAAGAGCAGAGCACCGACGATGTCGAACAACATCCTCATCACCGGCGGCGCCGGCTTCCTGGGCCCTATGCTCGCCGCCAAGTTGGCAAAGGAATCCTCAAACAACATCGTCCTGACCGACCTTCGCACACCCCAAAGGCCAGCCGGCATCTCAGAGTCGGCAACCAACCTAGAGCTCACAGCTGGAGATCTCACATCGCAATCAGACATCAACAAACTCCTTTCCATGCGCCCACAATGGTCAGCCATCTTCCTCTTCCACGGCATAATGTCAGTCGGCTGCGAAGAGAACCCCGCGCTTTCTACCAAAGTCAACCTAGACGCAACGCTTTCTGTTCTTACGTCCATCTCAAAACTGCAACAACCTACCAAACCCCGCATTGTCTACGCTTCGACCCAGGCTGTGTATGGACCGCCTTACACGGCGACAGGCCCCATCACAGATGATACCCCCGCGACACCGATAGGCGTGTACGGCACACACAAGGCCATAATGGAGAAGCACATCGATGATCTTAACCGCCGCGGTCTAATCGATGCCTTCTCCGTGCGCCTACCCACGGTCGTCGTCCGTCCAGGCGCGCCTTCGCGATCTGCAGCAGCATTCCTAAGCGGCCTACTCCGCGAGCCACTAGCCGGGCTCGAATGCATCGTCCCCATCAGCGACCGTTCAGCGCGCCAGATGATCTGCTCGCCACGCGTCATGATCGAGAACTTTGTGCGCGTCATGAAGGCGCCCTCAGATGCTATGCCGGCGCATATCCGCGCGGTATATATGCCTGGCATCAGTGTCACCCTTGGAGACATGTACGCGGCGTTCGAGGCGGTAGTTGGGAAGGAGAAGCTGAGTCTGTTGAGGGAGGAGGTGGATGAGGAAGCGAAAAGGTTGCTGGATAGTTGGCCGCAGACTGCGGAGTTTGGGAATGCGACGAGGATGGGGTTGTTGTTTGATGAGAGTTGCGAACAAATTTATAGGGAGTATGCTGATAGTCTTAAGGCGTAGGCTATGAAGTAAGAATGTATCACGAGTTTCAACATCTATACTTCAAATAGTCATCGCATGTCGCAAGGATACTGACCGCTTACTCACGCAATATTCTCAAAATACACGCCTTCCTCAATCCTCTTCACATCCAGGTAACCCAACTTCTCCATGTCTACCTCCCACATCTCCATCTTCTCTTCTCGCGTCCCAGCCAGCAAATCCTCTTTTCTTCCATACTGCCACCGACTAAATCTCGGAGGCCCATGAACCCGAGCCTTATACGTGCGACCAGCCTTCAGCCCTTCCATACTGCGAACATATTCCATCTCGTTGCCCAGTTGTTCCAAAGTACATTCAAATCGCCACGGCTTCCCCGCCGAAATCTCTACAAAGTCATCATCGTCCGGAAATATCGGATGGGGATCGTAATCGTAGCAGACAAAGACGGCACCCCACTCAACCTTCTCCCTGGTATCATTGTCTCGGCAGTCAATCAGTTGGTCGATGCAGTGCAGATTGAATCCGGTGCAGAGATTGGTGACTGAAAGTGGAGAGCGTGATTTATCAAACACGAAGGGCTCGTCGCTGTCGGTTGTGTACTCGATGACGAGGGTGAAGGGGTCTGGACCATTGAGATAAGCTTTGCTGGGCATCTCCAACCTGGCGAAGAGTTTTGGAGGCGCTGGATCGTCGTAAACGGTGAAGTAGTATGTGCCACCATCTTCACGATGAACGGGCAGCTTCTGCGCTGATGAAAGGTCCTCAGCTCCACCTTCCAATTCATCCGTATAACATGCGAACACCTCACCAGCTTTCTCCGACAACCGTAAACCGTATGTATAGTCTGGTCGCAAGACCTCTTTCCACAAAACATGCGTTGTTTCAGTCAACACGCTAATCGAAACTTCCCGATACTGTGGGAATGACGTTGAGGGTATGTTATACTGGCCTTTCTGACGTGACGTGACAGATAGCAGCATAACAACACCTGCATCTTCCTTGCCAGATTGCACGAGTTCGAACAATCCAGACCTTAATGCCTGTAGGACAGTGTTTCGTCCTCTTCCAACAACAGTAAGACCAGCGCAAAATAGAGTTATCGGGCGCTCTGTCTCTGGAGTTGTGACTATGAGGTGGCCAAGGCTACGACGTTGTTTGCGGTTCAGCTGGAATTTGTTGTTGGGTTCCGGCTCGTCTGCCTCAAACCGGAGGGATAGGCCGTTGCTAGGTGTGGCTTTCCTTGTCATGGTGGGCGCACGCTTCGTGTTATGTGCAACGCAGGCCCGGCCGATCGTCGAGGGACAAACGTGTAAGGCTGAAGAGAATGATCACGTAGCTGAAAATGAAACCGAAAGATTTCTGACTAGAAGAAGGTAATCGTGAATGTGGTGGCAACTACAAAGGCTGTGCCATTCGATATTCTGGTAACGATGTGACGTCATGTCAGAACTAGAACCAGAAAGGACAGCCCTTGCTAAACGGACGATGCTCTCTCCACAGCGTGGAAGCCTACACCGATTGAAGGTTGATAGTCTAATAATCCGCGAGGAAAGAACAGCGCCATTCTCACCACACTTTCCCTAAAGTTGACAACTTCTCATGTTCATTTACGATCACTGCAATTCTGACCACGACCAAGGTTAAGTAATCGCAAACTTGCCCAGCCTCATCTATAGATGGATTACATATCTGTACTACGATAGTTTCAGCGTCTCAACCGAAACGACGGCGTTTGGAGCGCACAATCTTTCCGCCATGAGACATATCCTCATGGTCACGCTTCTCACCTTGCCGCATCCTCTGCCGCAAAAGAGGGGGCTCGATTTTTGGAGATCTCTTAGCTCCTGTTCGCGTTCCTGTTCTTGATAGCCTATCAGATCGCGATTCGAGATGAGGTTGCAACATCGTCTGGCGCTCTCTGTGTTCGATCTCCTTTCGCAGCGCTTGTTGGATATCTTCAACGCTACTACTTGACAATTCTGATTCACAGCTCTTCATCCAAGCCAATATGCCCTGGATTGTGATGACATGGGGATCCGCCCCATATTGTAATGAAATTAGGACCATGTCGCGGACGGGTCGGATGTGTAAAACACCGTACAGGCGTTGCTTGATGGCAGCACCTATAGAGTACAGCAATCCCCTCCATATGGTGACACCAGTCTGAGTGTCAATGTTGGGATCCAATCCGTGTTCGAGGAAGATACGGTATTGCATTACTCTTAAAGAGAATAAAGACAAGGGACACTGCCGTTTCAAATCCGGACACACAGCTTGGAACCATCCATGACGTGTTCTATCCATGTAGACCATGGAGACATCAGCGCCGACTCTGAGAAACTTGCGTAAGAGTTCGTGCTGCATGTCTCGTGGCTTCTGTTCGAGGTAGAAAGAGGTTCGTATTAACATCCGTAGGAAGTGCTTGGTCAGTGTCGTGTTTCGATTCATAGCATTTGGATCCAGTCCATAGCTGAAGAGGCATCTGAAGTACCTTGCCGCGTTCCGGAGGCTGTGTTCTGATCCAGTCTCTATGCGATCTATGAGGACGGTCCATCGCTCTGCCGCCGTGTTCACGTCGGCACCCTTCGCGAGAAAAATTTCCAGGACAGCCCAACATTGCTCCTCTTGCTCGTCGCCCAACCGCTTGATCATCTCGTCTACTAGAACGGCCCAATGAGATGTGCCGTCCACGATAGCATTGGGGTCTGCTCCTAGTCCAAACAGTGCGATCACCAACGACGGTAAGGGCGTTTTACCGATAGGGGCGGAAAGAGTTGGGCGGAGCCAGTCCATCGAGTGGCAAGATATGGCGAGGCTCGTATGAGTCGAGGGTGGATAAGAGTCGTATGTTTCATCGGAGCTAACCGGGCATGCTATTGCGTGTCTGAGAATGCGATTGAGATTCAACGTAGCACCTTTCTTGAGCATTCGATAGTTCAAGAAGTCTGCATGCCCAAGAGAAGCTGCAAATCGGAGAATGAAACAGTTTAGCCCGCACTCTGAGTGCGAGCACATCATTCGCTCGTTCTCCCGCTCAGCGTGTTCAATGACTTCGAAACACAGAGCTGTGTTGCCTGTTTCTTTCGCGCCTTTGCTAGCCAATTCTACGGCTAGCTTGTATAAAGAGGGCGGTGAAGATACCGCGACAAACTTGGACTCGGCGATTAAAGCGCGGCTTATTGCAGTGAAGACGTTCAGCTCATTAGAGGCCCAGGACTGAAGTTTCTGCCTCATGCGCTCTGTAGCAAGAAAGTCACTCAGCGTGCGATGCAGGAAGTCGACTCTGGTCTGCGCGCTGATTTCGGCCGGTGAAGCGACCTCTAAAAGACCTTTGAACCGTCCATTCAGCCGTCTTTCAGTTTGCTCAGCACATCTTTGTATTATGGAGTTCTGCCATATTTTGCTGGGCACATTGAGCTCCAAGGTTGTGTCGGTCTGTTCCAGGAAGTAATAGTGTATCAGTTTCAGTTGATGAGGACTTCGAATGGCAGCAAGGAAAGTCCCAGCCATTCGGCCTCGATACACGCCTTCCACAGAACCCAGTATCTGTTCGAAGAACTCTTCCAGATCGGATGGTATGGTACGCAAACGCTCTTGCAGTATAGGAATTGAATCCTCGTTGTCGATGCCGTTGCGAAGCGATCTGACTACTAAGCGAACCCAGAGAAACACCCCTTGTGCTCGTTCTCCTATCTCCTGTACAAGATCGTCGAAGAGGGTCGGTTCGTAGTCCATGTAGGGGCGGTTGGATAGCAGGTTTTCGCGGGCAAACAGCTCTATGTCTGGTCTGGTGTATTCGTATAGTCGGAGGACATGCGGGTTGCCTCTACCAAAAGAATCTTTGAAACAGTTCCAGGGCCTGCTGGAAAGGCAAAGTTTGACGTTTGGAGCTTCAGACAAGTCTCGCAGTGTCTCTATGACTTCCCAACTGTCTCCGTAGTACTCGTCAAGACCGTCTACTTGGAAGTAAAATTTGGTGGTCACTGAGGTTTGGGTACGGAACAAAGCAAATGATTCTCGTAGCTCGGAGAGCGTCCACGAAAGTCGTGAAGCGTTGCCATTGAGATGTGGCTGTGATCCAGCATCCCATCTTCCAGGGCACAAAACAGGAGCCAATTCGGGGCAAGCACGGAGTATATGATACAGGAGGGTTTGAAGAAGTCCTTCTAAGGACTTCTGCATCTGTTGACCCGGTGTCCAAAAGTAGAAGCATGCTCTTACTAACGGTGCATCTCCAGACCAAATCCGGAGATTGCGTACAGTCTCGCCATGGTCGTAAATGTATTTCATCAACGTTGATTTTCCTGAACCTAGAGTAGCATTCAGCTACCGACTTGCATGAAGAATGCGACCAGAACTCACCTGGCTTTCCAGTGACCCAGTATATCCCACTGCTACGTTGTAGCCATTGGGTGAATCCGGTACCCGATTGCAGAACAAGAGTATCACGCATACCGGGACTGTACATCCACGCAAAGGTCCTTGTGTGAGCATCCCTAATGGCACTCTGTCGTACCTGCATGAAATCGTAACGCAGACTTGCGATGAGCACGTGACACCGAGACACTAGGTGAACCTCCGAAGAAAACCCAGAGAAAGCGTCGTTGAGTGTTCCCCAGACGCCATTCCCGCGGAGGGTTGAGACGTCCTTCTGAATGCCTTGAAGCTGTGAGTCCAAGGCCTGGATCTGTGACGTGATGCGGTAACCCAACCGCCGATTCTGCACTTTGAAATCGTCCAGTAAGTCCACGAGCTGAACTTGATTGTCACTAGATGCATCTTCAGTAACCATGATGGTAAGATAATGTCAAGGGCAATTACCATGTGTCGGAGACCAGATGCATTGTCACTTGGTCTCTGAGCGATTCCAGTCTTGCTTTCAACTCTTCAACGTATTCTTTTTTCCACACATATCTGAGAGCCTTCCGAAAGCTCCGCCATATTTGTGGTGATTTTCGTGGTGATTCTCCGAAGGCTGGCACATTTTCCTCGTCAAGTTTGGCGATTGCGTCCAGGAGCTCTTTAGCAATGATATTGCAGCGAGAAGCAATCTCAGACAATCGCGCGGGGGCGCCGGCGCCGGCGCGTGATGTTATTCCACTGCTGAGAGCCCTGATGTCCTGCGATATGATCTTGAGATCGACCTTTTTGTCCAATGCGTCCGACGCGGACTCATAAAGTTCCTTCGTTTTCGAAACGAGGACGAAGCTGAAAGAAATGAATTGGATGATGTTTCCGGCGAGACTAATGGCAACAAGAGCTTCTGCCATTCTGATACTGATTGTTTCGAATGGTTCTTGTAGGCGTAGCCGAGAGAAACGGGGCCAGCCTCGGTTTCATAGCTTGAAGTGGTGCAGCTACTCAGCTGTTTCAGGCCTCGCCATCATCAGGCTGAGGGCTGTGTTGACGTGTGGCGACCTGTGATTCGACGCGAGCACAACAGTGGTGGCACAACATACTGCGTGCAGTTTAACAAGGCAGAATGATGCTCTCATGCAGCGTTATTCCGGTAGGATGAGGCGATTTCGGTTGGTGACGGTTGGAAGTTACGAGCTCTCCTGCTTGGCGATGTCCAGGTGCGCCTGCCAGCGGAACGGCAAGGCATACCGCGAAAAATAAAAATCGCGCGGCACATATGTTGAACCAACAACGCGCTCAGTGTCATTATTGAATTACTTGCGCAGTGAATGAAGCCATAAACTAGTCAGACGGTAGGCAAGAAGATACTTACGACGAGCCGTTCGCATCATCCTTGCGATGTTCTAGTCCCTGCTTCTCATACTCTGCCCCTCAACCACTCGCCCGCCCGCTTAGCCATATTCACAGCCTCCTGATTAAACCCTAGAAGGTGACCAAGAAGAAGGATGTCATGGGGGACATTCTCCTCAATATCCAACTGAAGATCATTGCCCGCCTCCTTCATCTTCTCCGCCCACTCCACAATATCAAAGTATAGGACCTCTCCGCTGCCCGTATTCACAAACATGGGCACCTCGGTTTTGAAGGTCCTGTTCTTTTGAGAGACATAAGGCTGCGACAGCACCTTATCCCCACCCTCACCCGCATACGCGGTCGTGCCCCATGCCGTAAAGGGCGGGGAGATGTAGTCTGTCGCATAGTTTCGGTTGTCGTGGACGTAGGAGCCAGAAGTATCGGCGGGGTTGGTCCACGGTGACCAGAGGAGCGCGGAGGAGGGATTGGGTAGACCGAGTTCGGAGCCGTAGTCGGTGATGTAGCGGAGGAGCGCGATGGCGAGGTTGCCGCCTGCTGAGTCTCCGGACAGGATGATGTTCTTCGGCGAGATCTTGAGGTCGTTCAGGAGGTATAGGTATGATGTCAGGCTGTCTTGGAGGGCGGCGGGGAACGGGTTCGACGTCTTCGAGACGGGCAGGGTGGAGAGGCGGTATTGCGGGCAGAAGACGTGTGTGGCTGGTGTATGTTTGAGGAGCTTCTTTGCCATGGGTCCGCTGGCTGCTGTTCGTCCGTCGCCTAGATCCAGTTAGCTTTGATAGACCTCTAGCATAGTGAGGTTGTTTGCTAACCAGTGACGAAAGCTCCGCCGTGGATATGGAGGACCACCTTAGTGTTCTTATCGCTGCCCGTGGTCAACGGCGCAGGAAACCAGGTCGCCCCGATTTCCACAGGCACAACATCTTTGTTGCTTCTCAATGGCCCCTTGTATGCATCGTTCTTCGCCGGCTTGATGACTACAAAGCGCTCCTTCTCTTGCTCCGGTGTCAGGGGTAAAGGTGTAGCAACCTGCACCTTCGACACGTGCCATAGACCAGAAAAGAAGGCATGCACGGTGATAGCCTGTCGAAGAGTCCAGCTAGGATGCTGGCGACCAAGAACGAGGAACTTGATGAGTATAATAGGGAAGCGCACGAGCTCGAAGCCCAGGGCGCCAAGTCCATAGATGGCCTTTACGGGGTGTTGCGTGAGGTCCACCATTGCGCTCGTGGCAGTGTCGACAGAGATGAAGAGAGCTCCATTGCGGGACTAGAAGCTTATAACGCGATGACGATGGTGTGCCGCTTGCCTGTGATTGTTGAGGGGCGGCAGGTCCTGAGGATCTGAGCCGAGGTCCTTGGCGAGGCTAGCTCATGATCTCCAAAACTACCCCACATCTGTACCTCGACTTTTCCAACACTTTCCCCTATCGACTTAGGGGAATCGCATTTTGGTACGCACCGCGTTTAGTCCGGCGACCTCGCAACCCGTTTCTGAGCACGCAAAATTGTCCAAACACGCGGGCCTGGCGGCTGGACGACTTGCACACCTCGGACGACTATCCGGCGTAGCTGAATAATGCTACTAAAGCCTCTTGCGACACTCATCACGCATACATCACTCCGATGCGTGACCTGCTATACTTCTTAAAAGCACCCGCGGCTTCGCCAGAAAGAGCTTGGAATTCATGACATTACATTGCAAGATCACATGGGTAATTCACACCTGCCCATGCATTGCTTCTTTTCGCATATGGGTATCTCGAACCTCTCTATATCTTTCCAACATACGAGAGCCCCCGTCGGGCCCAATTCGTACCAACACCAGCCGTTCATTGACGCGTGAGAGATTCGTTTTCTCTATCCATGATAGAGTGCGGTGGCCAGTATCGCAAACGTCCGCTGGGAAATTATGACAGTGACACAGCCCGAAGCCAAGATGACAACCAAGTGTGCCGGCAGAATCAAAGCTCCTGGGGCTAAGTGTTCACTGACGTCTTCTCCTGGACCTGGGCGGCTTGTAATCTCCATCAGGGTCTTCGTGCTGACGTCGTTTACGCTTAGGCCTAGCAGCAGTGTTGGATGTAGCCACTCGAGGCTGGGTCCTCCGAGTTGAAGCGACATGAGCATTCTGCTGGGGTTGCCGAGTTGCTAAACTTGTTCCCTGGCTGTCACCGGCCTGGGTAGATAGTCGATCTGTCCTCGACGTGTCCTGCTGGTTTTGTTGTCGGGTATCCTGTCCAGGCCTCTTCCCAGTAGCCTTTTTGACAGGCTTCGCAGGTATGGGTTCCTCAGGACGAAAGTACATAATCAGCGCCAGGATATCCTCTTTCATGGCACCTGTAGGGCGACCCGCCTTCGTTCCCCGGCCAAGATGAATTCGATCTTGAATCATTCGTTGTACTTCCTTCAGCTTGCCTGGTGTGAGGAATGCTAGATCTCGAAGGAGGACGAGGAAATCCTCGCCCCATCCTAGGCATCCTTTGGCTTTGTTGACGTGTTTGTAGCTCAGACCGTACGGAAGCGCTTCCCAGGCATCGTCGAGACCCCATAGTCTGCATATATCCTCGATTACCGCGTTGATAACCGGTTCGGGGGTCGAAGACCGTGACCGCTGCGCGTTGGGTGTCATGGTAGATTTCGATGAACAGAAGTACCTGACGGTCGTGGTTGCACTTCAACAGATCTCAGTGAGGTCGTAAGTGCAGAGTCGCCAACTGCTGTACGAGACTGCGATCATATAGGAGCTGGCGAGACCATATCGCGTCGAGGAGAGGTGTGTGACTGAACAATGTCGCCATCGGACCGTATGCATGAAGATTGAACGCACAGCAGCCCGTATTTCGACATTCACTCGAACTGATGTACCTGCGTTTCAATCTCGAGCTCGCAACAGTGAAAGCGACTGCCCAGATGCATCGCGGAATTGCATGTCGTGCTACCTACGCTTTGCCAGGAGCACATCGTATAGTTCGTACACGAGGCTGTGTATTCGACTCGCATCATCGGTTTAACATTTGAAGACCTGCGTATATAATATATTCATTGTAAATCTTATAAGGAGCCGTGGCTGGACCCTAGTTAGGTACATCCGCCCGATCTCGTGATGAGACGATGGGTCGGACGATGTACATCAAATGAAAGGACAGCTTGTAAACAAGTGAAAAAGCTTGTTTGATGTTTGTCTCTAAACAGTGAATCATGAATGTTCCATCGATGTCCAATCTGGCTTGCTGTCAGGCGAGCTCTTTACGCCCTTCACACCTTCAATGCAAGGTCGAGGCGTCGGAATCGAGTGGAAGGCAAAACAATCGACTGTGAATGAGTACAGAACTATACAGCAATATTTCGATCATTCGATGATTCTTGTCTCTTCGTTGTGGGCAGATGACAGACCTGGAGGAAGAGGGAGGGATTTGCTTACTCAGCTGACTCCGCCAAGCCGCACCCTGGGGTCTTTCCGCTCAGAGCTCCCACCAGCTTCACTCAAACCTTGTGCCTTGCGTCAAATCACCGGCATCCCTCCACCACTGGAGAAAGCTAGCGAACTAGCGACGCTTCTTCTTTTCGCGTCACTATCACTTCCCAATACACGGGATCATAATGTCAGGCTTCAGCTGTCAGCTGTCGCACCTGCCAGAAGCTGTCAAACGTGGAAGGAACAACATTGCGCATGCATTTTGATACCAGCCGAAGCGTCGTCGCTCAACACATTGGACTAGTGCGCTCCTCGTACGATAAGCAAAAGCAGAGAAGAATGGGGACGTCGCATGCATAGCCTTGCTAGCTATCATGCCTCGGTATAAGATGATGCCCCTTTTCGGAGGTCAGGCGAGCGCGGTACCCCAATAACGAACGGCATCGCAAGCTACACGATGGAGCTTTCGTGCGTAGTCGCGAACAGATTGGAAAGCAGTAACAGCAAACACTCACGCCTTTCGGTCGTCGTAGTGCTCAACAGACTGTACAGTCCTCAAGTCGAATGCTCCACCAAATCAATAGGTCCCTGCATCTGTCGGCAATCCCGCCGAGAGAAGGCGAACCCAGACCACCACTTGTCGCGTGCACAACCCGGAGATTTTCAGGACCAATTGGCTCGAAGAAAATACCAATCGTGCATGGGGTTTCTGATGCCAAAATTAGATAAAGACGGTCTAAGATCGTTTTCTAGACGAAGCTGTGCTTAGCTTCTCGGTGAGAGTAACCGCAACCCCACATCTTCCATGCTCCATCCTACATCGTATTCCGAACACGAACTTAATCGCCGCAACGGGCACTATGGCAGCCTTTCCCGTATGCGCATTGATCATGCGCCGTTTAAGAAGCCCCGTACCGATACCCTTTAATAGCATTTCGCATTCTAGAGGCCTTATATACCGCTTCTCCGCGCAACGGTCTTCAATATCATCATTCGACATTCGTTTAGTCCTCCGTTAGAACATCCAAACACATTAATCATGAGGAGAAACCAACTAATCAGCCTCGCGCTGCTTGCGCCGAGTTGTCAAGCATACGTCTGGCCTAGCAAGTACGACCAGCTCGACGACCTCTTGTATTTGCAATCTGGTTACATCAGAAACGGAGAACTCTCAGATCGTACGTATCCATACTCCCCATTTTATCCCTCCTGCAACTTACACAACAACAGAGGTCCAGACCTGCTCATTCGGCGCTCGCCAACCAGGCATCCAAAAGGCCGCAGAATGGGTGCGAACGAACTTCCACGACGCTGTCACCCACGATGCCTCAACTGGGATCGGAGGCTTGGACGCCTCGATTCAATACGAACTCGACAGACCAGAGAATCTCGGTGCCGCGTTGAACAACACCTTATCCGATATGGCCAGTTCAGTCAACATCCGAAGCTCAGCAGCCGACGTTTTGGCCTTGTCGTTAGTCATGTCTGTGGCTCGTTGCGCTGACATGCGCGTGCCTCTACGACTGGGCCGCAAGGACGCGGCAGAGGCTGGTATCAAAGGCGTACCGGAAGCGCACACCGATCTCGACACCACAAGGAAGAGATTTGAAACTGCCAGTCTTACAGAGAAGGAGATGATCACTTTGATTGCTTGTGGTCACAGCATTGGTGGTGTTCACTCAGTCGATCACCCGGAGATCGTCTCCGGTCCCGTTACCGCCGAGAACAAGGCGACTTTCGATACCACGAGCGGAGTGATGGACAACGCTGTGGTAACGGAGTACCTCAACAACTCGACAGCGAACCCTTTGGTCGTCAACGCCAACAACACGTTGAACTCCGACAAGCGCATCTTCCTTGCCGACGACAACGCGACTATGCGCAAGCTTGCAGACAAGGCCTACTTCAAGTCGCAGTGTGAAGCTGCCTTCGAGAAACTGATTCACCTCGTGCCAGGAGATGTCACACTAACGGAGCCCATGGAGCCAGCCGATATCCGTCCTTACATCACAACATACCAACTCAAGGATGGAGCAGTCGAGTTAACAGGACGTCTTCGTGTCCGAATCACACCAGTCACCGGCCGCGACGGCAACACCCTCACAGCTTCTCTCATCCCAGTCTCGCGCAATGGCAGCGCGCCCGCCGAGATTGTCGCCAACCGCGCTACGTACAAACTAGGAACGTCCTCAGGATATCTAGACGAGAAATTCCAGTGGTTCGAATTCACCCAGACACTCAACGCCACCGATGCCTTCGACGCCTTCACCATCCGCGTGAACGACAAGACCTACGACAACGGCGGCACAGGCAGCTACCCCATCAACCCCGACGTCCTCTACCAAGAAGCGCAATCATGCACAGCCAAGGACACCACAACAGGCGAATGGAAGATGACCATCACTGCAGCCGTTTCAAAATCCCTCCTCCAGACCGGAGCTACACCACAGCTCAACGTCTCGAAGAAGACCAAGGTACAGGGCCTTGTCATTCCTCGTCTTACGCCAACGATTGTCGAGATGAAGCCCGCGGGCAAGGAGACTGCGGAGTATGTGTATTACACTGCGACGACGGTTTTGAGTGAGAGGGGGCTGGATTCTACGTTTGATATTGAGGTGGGGGAGTCGAAGGTGGAGTTTATTAATGCGAATGCGCTTACGCAGCAGGAGTGTGCGGCTTTGTAGATACCCAGTTTTTAATGAACGTTTTCACATTTCAAAACTCGATCATTTAAACTGTTTTCACCTGATATTATGACCATAATTGGTAATGCGTGTCTCCTGCTGTGGAGAGGTTTAGCGCGCGATCACGGTGCTCAGTCGCATGCAATATAACACCACATATCCCGCACTCGCCAGTCCTTTAGGTGCACGATTTTCTTGAACATCTATGAGACCAAGCCGAGCTCTAAGTCTTCCACGTCATCTACTAATACACCATCCCCACCGACCACACCAGGAACGCCGAACCATGCAACCCAACCCTACAACTTCGAAGACAGCTTCCCGCTCTTTTGCGCCGTGTAGGTGGCGATGAGATCCATCAACGCTGGGCTAAGCACATCATATGTCTGCAGACCCTCCTTCCTGAACTTCTCTCGTACGGCGTCCATCTCCTTCGGATTGAAACCCTGCTCGATGATGCTGCTGACGAAGGCGGCGAACTGGGGCTCTTGCCATCCCTTCTTATCACTGAGTTCAACGTGGACGAAGTCCAGGCCCTTGAATGGATGGTCGACGACGATGCGACCGAAGAGGTGGACGCCGCATTGCTTGCAGGCATTGCGCTGGATGGCCGCTGATTCGTCGATGATGTGCAGCTTGTCGCCGTTGGCGGTTACGGAGACGTTGTCTTTAGGAATGACACCAACGACGGAGAAGAGCGCGCCCTTTGGCTTCCAGCATTTCGAGCAGCCGCAGGCGTGGTTGTGCGCGACGTTGCCAGCGAGGGTAACTTCGACCTTCTTGGTGGGGCAATGGCAGTAGAGCTTGCCGCCGGAGAAGTTGGGATCGCCCTTCTTGATACCGTTGTCGATGGCGGGGTGGATGGACGGCATTATGAACACTAATGCACTGACGATTTACTTGGAATAAGAGGTGGTTGTTTGAGGTTATCTGGAGGGTATGCAAAGTCGCAGATACTCAGGTACCTAGGCGCACACTATATACGGGTCTGCGTTCCACATCGAGACTATCACCCCCTCACGGGACTGCGCAACCGATCAAGAAAGAGCCGCCTGATTGTGTGGTGCGACCGCAGGCAATACTGATGGTATTGTGGATGTGAGGTGCGGAGCCGCATAACGTTGCCGCTTTAGGTCACTCGGCCCTTCCCCGCCTCGCGCTGGAGATTGCCGCGATACAGCTGCTTGCCCTTTGGAGATGATGCGATTATTCATATTCACTGAGTTGCACAAACATGAGAAGAAAGGCCATCGCTACAGCTTCAAGATGAGGCCGACGTCGTGATTGATATGAGATTGGACGTTGTCGCACGTGCGACGTAGAGGGGGCCTCGTGTCGGCGCCCGGGAAGATCATGAGTTTTGCCACCTTTGCCTCCTACATCCCATTCGAGGAACTCCAGCGAGAACTCTCACACAACTTTCGCGACGACAATGCAGTAGCTATTGCTATTTCATTCCGCGATACATCATTAAGCTGACTACAGCGCTAATTCCTAGCGGTGCACGACGGCCAAGCCGCCAGCCCGGCGCCTTCGCATCGATCGAAACCACCTATCCGTCTCCCGTGAATTCGCTGAAGGCGAGCAGGACATCTCGAAACGTACTTTACAACCTACGAAACATCTTTGTCAGCAGCAACTCCTCTCTAGGCTCCCCTAATCTGGGACTCCTGAAGATCCGCCATGCGCTGCGCAATCCTCGCTCTACCCTCTGCGAAGAGCCTCTCGTCTTGACATTTGAAGCGCTTCGCATGGAATCGGGCACTTTCAGCTTCCATCTCGTACTTCATGAGCTGTTCTTCTGGCGTTTGAGGCGCGAAGTCGTAGCCAAAGTTGAGGGAGTCAATGCGCTCTCCGATGTCTTCAACATCCCGCTTTCGCTTAGCGCGGAGCCGTCTTTCATTGTCGTCTGAGGATACTTCAGACGCTTCTCTTCTCCGACGATGACGTCGCTCCCGTCGACGGCGCTCCCATGGCGGCGTGCCGCTGCGAGACCTGCGAGACCCTGTCTGGCCATCGCTCGGATGAGGCGAGCGGGACGGCTCATGTTGACGGGTCGGGCGCTCGACCGGGGTACGAGCTCTACGCTCTTGTGACGCAGCTGGGTTACCTTCTGCTGGCTGCCTTTCATCGGCTAAATCTGGCCTCCGGACGAAGAGGACCTGGAACGCTGGTTCCATGAATTTTATCCAGCCTTGAGCGCGATGACCAAGGTCGCCATCAACATCGAGGAGATACAACGGGAAATCGTGGCCGCCATCAAGAACAGGAGGAGCAAACGTAGAGGTGTTGGACGGCCCAAGAATGAGGACCGGGCCGATAGCATCGGAGATGTCCGCCCAGGCGATTTGCACGACGCACATCGCACTCTGGGCGAGGCTCATAGACTGTACAACATTGGTAATGGCTTCTCCCCAGACGGAGACGTTCAGAATGAAGAGACTGGCAGAGATTCAAGCGGGGAGAAGACCCCGGAGTACGTTCCAGAGATGTTGCAAGCGATGAGAGCAGGACGTCATTTTCTGAACAACGATAACGAGCCGGCCGATGGCTCTCCGGCGCTATCTCACGAGTCGTCTGATGTCGAGGACATTCACCAACGTACTCCTGTGCCTTCAGCTTCCTTTCTTGGGCCTAGCAACGCTATCGGCAAGATGCCGGTCATAGGACTGCACGGCGCTAGCCTGGAAGGAAGGATCAACGGGCTACCGAATCCACCTTTCCATTCCCTGCTGGGGAGGATGAAGCCACGAGTTCCCATGACACAAGATCAATTCGAACAACGACGAGTCGGTGGACGTACGAGAGTGAGCAGAAGCCCAGCGGTATCACCAGAGCGTGGACCTAGTACACCAGCCAATGCCCAGGCCAGCGGGAACTATATAAGAGAGACGAGGACATTTATTGTCTGCTGTATCTATAAGCTATAGCAATACTCTTCTACTTTTTAACCTTAGCTTTAAGCTTAGAGTTGCGAGCCTTAAGAGTGCTAACATAGTTAAAGTTCTGTTGTCGCGACTTACGAGTAGTCCCGCCCGCCCTGTCTAAGCGCCGGCTAGATGAGTTCTCGTAGAGAGTCGCATTATCGGCCAATACAGGAGCGCCCTTAACCTCTAAGAAGGCGGGGGGCTAAAAGTTTCGATGCTAATATTGCGCCCTAACGCGTCGCCGGGCGGAAGCGGGGTGTTAAAGAAATTAAAGATCGCCTTAACTTTCTAGATTTTAGCGGTTATAAGAAAGAATTTAAGACATATAAGAACATGCTTATAACACTTCGAACAGAAGACAATATACTAAGAATAACCTAAAAGCGCTTAAAGACTAAAGGTACATAGAGCTTGCTTATTATATTCTAGTAGGCGCAAATTTGTCTTATTACACAGAGAAGGCGAGCTAGGCTTAGCGTAGGCTATATATCTTAAGAAGAACTATAAAGCTACTAGCAAGTGTTAAAGTAAATAGAAAATAGAGTAAGAAGCGCTAGTTAAGAGAGCGCGGGACTTAGAGCGCAGTAACCGCATACTAAAGGCAGAAGTACATATACTATAGACTAAACTGCGGTAGGGCTCGTTCTTGTATACCTATTCTGTATTATGCGTAGTGGCCTTTTATGCATTCTTCTTGCTTGCGCGTTTGCGACGCTAGTTTAGTGTTATTAGTTAAGAGTAGAAGAAGGTACTTGCAGCTTATGCTAGAGGTAGAAGAGCGAAAATAGAGAGCTAGGCAAGAGGCTGCTGCTGCTGCTAATGCAGATCTTTTGCAGTTTGTAGAGTTTGTTTTAAGATGTCCTGCTCGCCTTCATCAACTGAGGCGTTGTTTAACGAGGCCACACCTGGCTTAGATTTTAGTCCTGCGCTATCGCCTGCCGAGTCGCTGGGCCTCGTTGAACAACGCTGCCACACCTGGCTCGAATTTCAGTCCTGCGCCATCGCCTGCCGAGTCGCCGGGCCTCGTTGAACAACGCTGCCACACCTGGCTCGGATTTCAGTCCTGCACCATCGCCTGCCGAGTCGCCGGGAAGCACAAGACAGGAGAGCACTATCAGTGGTCGATATTGTAGTGAGAGACTGCGTCCATCATAGCGTGATCCTCGGCCTTGGTCATGAGGTTGGAGTGGAAGTGGGGATGGTGGGTATTGATATGTCGGCGGTTAGCGGACGGCGAGATGCGGGGGGCGAGAAAGAAGCTCGGCGCCGTTCCTGAGCCTCTTCGATCAGCGGCGCATGTGGGCCGTCAGACGGGCGGGTCCCGCTGCCAACTTCGAAGACGTTGTCATAATCGACCCTGTAGCGCGATATCGCCAGTATGGTGCGGGCCATCGATCGCGCTGAAGCGGAGTCATCATCCCACCTCATTGGCCATAGCTGCTGCGGAAAGATCTGAGTCACGTCTTCCATAGACCAGTTCCGCGCGATCTCCCGTAGGTGTTCCAGCATGTGCTGGTAGTCTTCGTGGTCCGGTGACGCCATCCCGAGATGAAGGAAATCGAACGATTATCGCGACGGCGCGGTCGAAGTGATCAACGAATTGAGTGGTGGTAGCGGTACTATATATGTATGAGCAACCATTCCGTCGAGCGAAAGTGGGGCAGATTGACATACCTAAGATTTGAGATGATGTGACGACGCGGGGGTGGGTAATATTTACCGATATTGCTGTTCGAGTGTAAGAGTGATGTATTGAAGTATGTGATGGTACCTGACCATATAAACTAGCACTAACCCAGGAGCACCTACCCATCAAGTGATCGCTCCTTCAACAGTTGCTACCCTCCACGAGCGCAAGAGTATGATCGCAGAGGCCGTGAAAAGATTTGTACAAATGTACGAATCTTCAATCGGTGGGTGAAAGCTTTCATCTCATGCAATGAAGTTAGCGGCGATAGGCCTTCGACAGCCAAACTTCAGATGATAGGCCCCTGACAGCACCTCATTGATCTGATAGCCTATTTGACGCCTTTCACCCCCCTAGGGGTGCGCGCTACGGCACCGACTAGGCTAAATCGGCCCAAACATACCAGAACCGCAGCCATTCCCATCATGGGACGATTATGGAACGCCTTCGCGCCTCATAAATGGATCTACCTACTGATCCTCATCCTCGACTCGAGTACTTTTGGCCGCAGCGTCTTGTCTCATCTTCCACAGCTTCAGCCGACGAGCCGCATAGAAAGCTCTACCACTCGCTATAAGCGAAGTGTCGGAGTTTCTATACCCACCCGGGAAACGATCTCGTAGCTCGTATCGTTTCGCGTGGATCTCGGCTATGTCGATGTCGAAAGGCAGCAATTGCATCTCTTCCTCTCTTGTCAAATGCTCGTTCACGGGTGCATAGCCGAAGTTGTAGAGGCTGATACGTTCTTCGATGTCGGACTGATCTATACCATGAATCTCACCGACTCCGTCATCTGGTCCATGACGTCGGCTTGAAGTGTGACGCCCGTTTCGCTTTTCAGCTTTAGTAACTCTCCTTCTCTTCCTGCCCGATGTACCTATGCCTCTCGACTCTGCCACTTCACCGGTTCGATTATTTCCAGCCCTGCTCTCTATGGCTCTTACGTCTCTTGAGTATCTCATATGCATCCTCTGGTATCTTGCAAGTATTTGGAGTCTCAAAGCACAGTAGTAGTCTTCCTGTGCTTCGTATAGCTGGTCTTTCTCGACATGCAAAGCTTGCAAGTCGTCGAAAGATGCGTCTTTGGGATCGTCAGGAACGTCTTCCAACTCACAATGATCTCCATCGAGACCTGCGAATCTCTGATGGCGTGAAGGCGCTTTGTGTCCCGCGTCCTCGTCCGATTAGAGATACTCACCATGCCTTCTCATGGATTCACCTCTTTGATCCGTCAATGGTTGCCTGCCTTCATTGGTACGTGCGGGTCGGCCATCTTGTCCCAGAGGCAAGTTCGAACGATCTGTCCACCTGGTCGCCTCTTGGCCCCCAGCTTCGGGCAGACCTTCGTTGATGCCAACCTGTGTTTCGCAGGCTACACCGTTATTTTCTTTTTCCTTGACTACCTGGATTCTCATTGCGATCAGTTCACCTTCTTTCCTGATCACTTCGTCCCTCCGTCGATCTTCATCCGTTCTATTCTTGGCCTCTTCCAATCTTCTGGCTGCCATACACTTTGCGAACCACAGATCCTTCGCATCAGGCTGCTCTCCCGTCTTCTTCATTGCCTGCATGTGAATTCGTAAGCACTCACGCGCCACAGGCAACAGCTTTCCTTTCATTTCTTCAGAAAACATTGCTAGTGTTTTGACGAACTCCCAATCCTCAAACGATTCGGGGCTTGGCGCTCAGCGTGTCCAACGTAACGTAATACGGTACTGTTGAGAGCACTCAGGGGTACGTACGGCCCTGTTCCATCTCTTGTACGTACGGCTGTATATACGATACGTTGGCAGCCGTAGTACGGTTGGTTAGGCCATGCGTACGTCGTACTGCCTAATTAGGCCTAGCGCGCTGCCAAGAAGTAAATGTTCGGGCATTGTAGCGGGCGTTTTGGGTGGTTGTAGAGAGCGTAAGCTGTCAGGGGTAGCTTTAGGGGGGCCTAAGGGGTGGGTAGAGGGCGTCTATATGCCTTCTGCTGTCACCCCTGACAGCTTTGACTGTGCCAAGCCACCCAACCGTACCCAGCCGTAGTACGTCTCCTTCACCGTCACCATGTACGGTTACGGTACGGGCCCCTGACAGCTTCTGTACGTACGGCTCAAAGTACGACGTATACCGTACCGTACTCAAAAGTACTACGCTACGTTGGACACGCTGTTGGCGCTTTTACAGGAGGTACGAAGAAGCTGCTAGGCGACGAAAGCTTCCAGTTCCTGCATATTCGTTCGCAGTGAGAAGGTATCTCATGTAGTCGGTCAGCCCATCTAGATGCCATCACGGAGCAGAGCAAAGGTCAAAAATCCGAGACGTTGCATGGGTTGAGAAGAGCAGGGCCTATCAGTAACATCTACCCTTAGTTCGCGATCGTTTTTAGTGGGGTAGCAATGTACATTTCGAGAGCTGAAAGAGAAGCAATTAAGCGAACAAAGCCTGCTGTCCACTCAAAGGCTGATGGACAAAGACAACTGCCGTCTCCTCCAGTGCCCAGCTTATGTGAACATCGCACACGAAGGCGACCGGCTCGCACGAGATATTAGTGGCATCTTTGCGTAACAGCCGTTGCTACTGAGATAAGTCGTCCCACTAAACTACAATAGACTGCTTAGTGCCAAAGTCCCACGGTCTCGACATGACATCCAACTTTCTCATATAGTTCATACAGCCACCCATAAAGCCTCGCACAAGCCATGTGAAGCGTCAATCAGCTCCATCGACCGCCTCTTTCGGCTTACGGACCTCCTCCTCGCATCACCATGTCCATTCACCCTGCGACTACTATCTCCCCACTACCCCGACCCTGTCTTCTCCGCGGTCACTGCAGCATTGGCTTGATTCCTGTTCTTTAGTCGAGATTCTTCGACATCCGCCAAGAGCTGCGCAACCCTTGCTCTACCCTCTGCCAAAA